TAAAAAAAATATAAAATGTGTAAAAATATAACGAGTACTTACATTTACCAATGTTTTCAAATATGTTTTGTTTACATTTTGACAACCAAATAGCTTGAAATTTGTTCCATTTTTTATTTCGTTTCACTTGCATATGCAGCATTACCATTCTAAAAACCTAAATGACGAATAAATTAGGTTAAATTCGGTCATTTAAAGACCATAAATGATCATTTAAAACTGCTAAATGAGCAAATAAATTATAATTTAGCTCCCGTCTGTCAATGCTACAAGTCAAAAATGAAAATATTTGCGAGTATGAGTCAATAAAACTTAGTTTTTCAGGTCGAAGTACACGCAATTGAACTTTGTCTGAGAAAATAAAGAGAAACCTATCACTAGAAAAAACATATATATTTTCTGACAGCAAATCAGCATTCCTAACACTACGTTCATCTCGACTGCCTGCACAACTAGTGTGGGAATGCCTTCAACTTCTCAAAGATTTTGCTGAAAGGAACAACGTTCCTTTAATATGGATCCCAGGACACAGCGGATTTGAGGGAAATGAGAAGCCGATAAACTACCCAGAAAAGGGGCGGTCTCATATCCTGGGATATGGATCCCAGGATACAGCGGATTTGAGGAAAATGAGAAGCCGATAAATTACCCAGAAAAGGGGCGGTCTCATATTATTTTGGCACAAAACCATTTTGCGGTCCTTTATGGAGCTTTTTTAAACTTGAAATTAATGAATGGCTGAAAAAAGTATCTCAGACTGATTGGGATAATGTAATTGCCTGTAGACAAGCTAAAGAATTTATACCAAATTGATCAAAAGCCGAAACTAAGAAACTTCTAATGCTGAACAGAAATGGCATCCACTTGTCATCTATCAAATCTAGGTATTACAAAGATCCTCGACTCTAAAAGAGCGCCGAAAGGAAAAAGGACCACAAAGAGCTTGTCTCACCAGAAATGAGCACCATAATGGTGCTACAAGTGAAACTGCACCATGCGAAGGGAGTATCGGTTACTTTGTGCAGAACTTTCGCCCTAAAAGGTCTAATCATACCGTCCCTCCAGAAACCATAGGCAGTCAGATGGCATGTAAGAGGACTTCAACATCATTCAAATAAGTTGATATATAAACGTGGCGTAGAGTCACCTATAACTAATTTACTAATAAGCAAATGTTCCAATTCAAGATTTCATCCAGTGGGACTTGGTTTCGGTCATTTTTGAGTCCTGATGGAGTGTGGCATACAAGAGATCGGCCTACTTTTCAGACGATGCAGATGAAGAACTACCTGAAGCAGTAGTAAACTTGATAAGTCACTGTGTTTCTAATAATTAATATATATAATTTTATAATTGCTAGCGATGCCAATGCGCACCGCGCCTTATAGGGTAGTTCTAATATAAATAGAAGACAACAGAAGCTATTAGAATACTTGAGTAGTAATACATCAGCATTGAACAATGGTTCTTACACTGTCTAACTAATTTATCTCCAATTATGTTGTTAACTGAATGGTCTCAAAGGAAGCTTATTTATCTGGCCATCAGCAAATTCTAGATCGCATATTCATACAGAATTTCCTAAGATTCAACTTCTTCGCAAAAATCAATTCGCTCACTCCAAAGAGAAGTCTACCGAATTGATCTTACATAACTTAACATGTAAAATTAAAAAGGCCCACAAAAATTTCTATTAATGGTGATGGGGGTGGGAACAAAGCGCATACTCGCGGATGAGACTAGCGATAACCTTTGTGACTAGGGTCACGAAAGCCGCGGTTATAAAGGGTAATGGTATGGAGATTACGGTCGTACTCATCAAAGTAGTGGGACAAATATTGGGGGAAGTTTGTAGCGCAAGACTTGAATGAAGTCTTCAGGGAGGGTATTAGGGATGGGTAACCGAGTGAGGTAACTACGGGCAAGTAGTAAAAAATTAATATTGCAGGCAGACTTTTAACACTTCGGTTAAAAAGTCTACAGACTAACAATATGCTCTTACTGCTTAATTAGTAAATGTAAGTTCCGTCAATTTTGTCAGAGGCATCACAAATTTGTGCAACATGACGTTGTCATAATAGAACACAACTTCTTTTCTGTTGATTAATTTTGAGCGCTTTTCCCTAATTACTTCGTTCAAGCGGTCGAGTTATAAGTAGTAGATGACCGAGTTAAAAGTTCCACTACGCTGGAGCAGTTCGTAATAGACAATTCCTTCCCAATCCCACCAAACCCTCTACAAAACCTTGTTTGGCATCGAGCTTTGAAATCGTTTGTGGAGGGCCACTGGCGTTGGACCATGATCGGTTACGTTGGATATTTTTGTATTTAAACAGTTATAATTCAATTTAATAATGCTTTCATTTCGTTGCCTTTCATCAGTGCTTTACTGAGAGTAATTCGATTAATCAAATTTCTTTGCGTTGATTCATGTTAACGCATTCGCTTCCGAAAAACGTTTATAAACTTCTAAAATCCTACGCAACTCACGGAAATATAGGGTTAGATACAAATTTTTACTTCGTAATAGTACAATATCAACGCTGGAGTTCATCAGGTTGGTGTGCTTGGATCTTTTCTGTACTTAATCTACACAGTTGACATTCCACAATACCCAAACAATTTGCTGACAACGTTCGCAGACGACACTGCTATAGTCAGTACCGACCGTGGCTGCACTATAGCATTACAAAACTTATCCAGGCATCTTGGTTTGATTGAAGATTAGCTTGCCAAATTCAGAATCAAGGGAAATCACACTAAATGCGTTCAAGTAACTTTTTCTTTAAGGAAAGAAACATGACCTGCAGTTGAAATCAATATTGTGGACATAGCTCAATCACTTTTTGTGAAATATCTGGAAATTCATCTAAATAGAAGGCTCACGTGAACAAGTCATATTGAAGCCAAAAGATGCCATTTAAATCTTAAATATAAGTTATTGTACTGGCTTTTAAACCGTAACTCTAAACTCAGTCTCGATAAGAAATTGTTAATTTACAAATCAATATTAAAGCCAAATTGAACCTATGGTATAGAGCAGTGAAGCTCAGCGTGCAAGACAAATAAAAAAAAATAATATTTTCCGACAAACTACGTGCGCTCCGTGGTATTTCAAAAACAAAAACCTACACAAAGACCTAAATCTTCCAACTGTGGAAGAAGTTATTCACCAATATACACTAAAATTCCGAGACAGACTCAAGTCCCATTAAGTCCCACTAAATCGCCTTAGAAGAAAATTGATAAATACGAATACCCTAGCTTAATAGCATACATATTAGTTTTTTAAGATTCGCAAAATTGTCAATTTCTATTTATGAAGAAAAAAAAAATACATGTGGAACCCACATATCGAGCTTCTTTATGTGGTTTGCTTTTTCATGCGGTTGATGTTTAATGCATCCGCTATCTCCTGACAGCTTACGTGTTGGTCTTGCTCCATAATTTGCAAAATTTCATCGGTTTTTGCAGTGAATGGCTCGAATGGAACAGATGCAATTAAACCAGGAGTTGGTATGATATTCACTGCATTCTCACCGTAAACCGCATATAATTTTTGAGATGTTTTTGCAGTCGTTTTACCTTTTTTATAGTAATAAAGCATTACTCATTTTCAAATAAATATTACATTTTATATAAGCAACGAATTACACAATTCAATGTCACTTTTCAAACACATGCTTTTTATTTTTTCTAATGTCACTGCATATGGATTTTTGCTATCCAAAGTTGATGTCAGTTGGACGAGCTGCTGACTAAAACGTTGATACATTCAGTCCTTTTTCTGTTAAACGTTCATTAGTATGTTTTTTGGTCAAACAGGTTTGTTAGCTTAATTCGTCTATTATTTCAAAATCTTCTAAGTCTCTCAAGCCGTTGCAGAAAATTTGGCCTTCGTTCAGGAGTTTATGCTTAAAAATATTTACGGAAATATTTAGTAAGAATGCTGAGAGTTTAGCAAGTTTCCTAGTTTGGTTTGCCAATTTGATTGAAATAAAATTATTCTATTCTAAATAGAAACTTTGGTTCAGTGTGTTCGATTTTAGGGTATAATTATAATCGATAGATAAAAACGGTTGTTTATGCTAAATTATTATAGATTTTCACAAGTATTGATTAAAAAAACTTCACATTTAAACATTTGCATTTATGAAAAGTTTTTTAACAACTTCAGAATTAAATATCTGTAATTAGTCAAAATTTGTTAACAACTCAAATAAGAGAAGATAAAATATTCGCTTACATTAAATTTTATTAAATGATGCCGTTCTTCCAGATGACATCACTATTCACCTTTTTAATACAAGTATTTATAACTACTAGTATTTTCTGACCATTAATTTTTTAAAGTTATTTTTATTAATAAATTATTTATAAGCATTAACTAATTATATGGTTGAAATTATATTGAATAAAATATATTAATCCTTATTAATTAAATGATCAATATTATTAAACTTTCTTTAATACCATATATAAACACAAATTCAATTTTGAGTTTCAATTCAATGACATAATTAATATTTTTTAAATTAAGGTTTTATAAATATTATTTCCGCATTTAAGATTTGGGCGATAAAACCACAATTTCAATTTGGTTTCATAAAATAATGTAAACAATGTGTAATAGTTCATCAGTTTATTTTAAAGTTTGTTGTATACATTTGTAAATATGTGTAAAGATATATCCTTATACTAAATTATAAAACGTGAAGAGCAAACTTCATTTTAGAACATATTATACACAAACATTCTCATTACATGAGACTATTATATATATTTTCAAATATAAAAATCTTTTGTATTTACATATACTTTTTCATTTCTTTTTCTAGTGAAAGCGAAATATATTTAAATGTCTTTAATTTCTGTTAACAATTGTCTAGAAAGGAAAAAATTATATAATATATCTACATATATATAATATACATGTATTATATATACTATACACACATAATACATTATAATGTATATAAATTATAATATGTATAACACAAAATATATATATATATATATATTATAATATATATAGATATTTAAATACAATTGTTAAACTGTAATGTGCTAAACGTGTCCTAAGGTGCATCAACATAATCTCGATCTCCCACATTAATGCGCCCTTCCGCTGCAGTTACAGAAAACCCAAGTATTCGAGCATCTAGTTTTGTCATTTTATTTTTTTTCATTCGCTTCTGTTTGCCCTAATTACAAGAGAAATAAATGCAAGTTTCTTTTTTATATTTGTATATTACTGAACCTTATTATCTGCATTATCGTTTCCCGATGGAGTTATAGCTGGTGCAGGTTTACACATATCATCATTATGTGCATTTTGCGCACGTTGTAAATTTTTATACCTGCTTCGCCGTTCAAGAAACTGTTTGGCAAAGTCATTATATTCCTTATTTTCACCTTTTGACGTTCATATTAAAATTATTTTCAATGTAGCAAAAATTAAACAAATTTGACTTACCTAAATATAGACGCACATAGTCTTTCACTTCATAAGGAGATTCTAAGTCCTGTAAAAATGTAACAAATGTAGGTACTGAAAATACAAAAAAAAAACATATTGTAAAAGCAGAAAATGTTTCATTGCATAAAAAATGTTATTAAAATGCAAACAACGGTATCACAAGTTACTTATAATTGTAATTAATTATCCGTCTCGATAATTTGCAACAAATTAATTTAAAAAATATTAATGTGTTCTACATACTAATTAATTGAAATGGAGTAGTGGACTTTTGTAATTATAGCAATATTGTTATATATATCGTAATAGATAAGATCAAGATCAATTAAAGCATATTTATTGTTTTCTATTTATAATACATTATGAAACAAAATTGATATTTTCCAGGTTTATTTCTAAATACAGTACTCTATTTATAGCAATTTAGCAGTAACCACGTTCAAGATTTTAAAGCAATTTCGAAATTACGAATTAAGCTCATTATTCAAAATATCTTTTACTACTTTGATGAAGTCATATATCTCTTTTGCTTAGCGTTTGTTAATGACTAAATATTACTACAGTACTACGCAAAAAAAAAATGTGTGTAAATACTTTTGACAACTAATAAGCATCAGTGCATTTCTTTCTATTTCTGTCGTATGAACCGTTATCTTTGTAATTCCTGTTTTTTTTTTTTGGTTCTGGATAGATAAAGCTAAACAACAACAAATACCTGCTTTAGTGGAAATGTACGAAATTGTTCCTTGTGTAAATAATTTTGACTAGGACTGTATTTCAAAGCGGATATAAATTTAAAAAAATCATCTATATCAATTTTTATATCGGAAGTAGATGATTGTGGAATTGCTTCTAAATGCTTTTTCGTTTGTTTTTAGTAAATTAAATGCTACTGAAAATATTTTAAGGATGTCATTTCCTAAAATCGGAAATTATTTTAATTGTATATTTCTTTCCAAAAATCAATGCCTTGTTTTTAACAACCCATATGGGATCCATAATTCTATTTGGAACTGTGACCTTTGTGATTCCACAATTCATGTCATAGGGCTATAAAAAATTGGTAGCAATTGTTTAATAGTATAGAAGTTATTGGTTCTGAAGTGCAATAAAATCATTTCACTGATTTAGATGATTTATTTACTACTAATCCTCAAAATGCGTAAGTTATTACTCGCCTCAACAGTTATTCGGCGATTTTTATTTAAGTTACGGTCTTATAATGCACTTTTGTTGCACTATTTCAAAAATTATATATTACACACTTTAAATGTTCATCAATTATAAATTTGATTTTAATTTTCGTATACATTTACATTTTTGGTTTTTATAAGGAAAAAAATTGATATACTTTTATAAATCCTACATGAAAAGCTGTGTGAATTTTATTTTAAGTTTGCTTTTATTTGAAGTAAAAATCTCCTTTCTTCCTACTCAACTCTAACAGGACATAAAAACAAAATTGACAAAAATGAAAATCTGTTGTTTGACAATCTTAAATTCTTCAAGGATTATCACAACTAGTATGATGATGAGACGCTTACATTGGATATTCATTAGTACAATTAAAAAAGAGGTGATTCTTATTAAATGAAATTTTAATACCAAAATGTGCCATGTATATATATTGATTCTAGATTGCTTAACTTTCTGGTTTAATTGAACAATATATGTTCTACTACAAAGATGAACTGTAATTTAGAAATAATTTTAAAGTAGCAGTTACTTATGTATACATACCATCAACTTTAGTGTTCATGTTGTTTAAGCTTTTTATACACCAATTAGTAAATTCATTTTGGTAATCATCACCCTTGCTTGTATCTAATCCATTATTTTTTCTATTCCTCTCCGTTTCAGATTTTTGTGGTTGACATTTAACATTTTGTTTAGATGGCGCAGCAATTTTGTTTTGTTGTTGAGAAACTGGTTTCATTTGTTTTCCTGATAAGTTTTGCCCATTGTGTTGCATAATTGTAACTGTTTGACTCTTTTTTAGAGGTTTCGATGCAAGTACTCCTTGATTATTACTGGTAACCTTTTGTGATGATGTTCCAGTTTGCTTCGCTGAGTTTGAAGAATGGTTGCCAGAATCTGTAGAAGTATTTGATGCGCTCAATTTAAGTGGTTCTTCCCAAAAACCAGCTGCATTAGCAGTTGAGCCCCATATTTTAGGATTGTTCCAAATCGGTGAACTTTTAACATTCCCTTCAGATGTGTTACTAGAATGTGACCCGCTTGGGGTAGGTAAATATAAAGAATTCTGATCGCGTTCTTTTCGACGTTGAAACTCCTGCTGTTCGGTTGCTAAACGTTTTACTTCCTCAGCTTGAATCTGAGCAAAACTTTTGACAGGTATTGGGGAAGCATTCCATTTACGCATAACGTCATTAGCCTCAGCAGCAGCTGCCGCATTGGCCCGAATTTGTTTTTCTAACATTTCTGTTTGTCGCTGCTGGTCAGCACGACGTTCTCTTCGTTCTGCCTTTTGTATTTCAGCTAAACCAGGACCTGTTTGACCGCTTACAGTATTTTGGGAAGACCAAGGTGCTATTGAGGTCGGAACTCGTTTAGGTTCTTTACTATTTTTATTGATTTCTAAAGTTGTTGTTGCTGCTCCAGTTGCTGAAGCAATATTTCCCAATAAAGCTTTGCGCCTTTGTGCTTGAATTTGTAACTGACGCTCTTTTTCTTCAAGCAACTGACGTCGATTCTCCTCAATATATTGGTGGCGTTTCTTATCTTCCTTTTGACGTCTTTTTTCATCTGTAACATCTTTACGTTTCTCTTCCTCAAATTTTTTAGTTAATACTTGTTCATCTTTTTTTTTGGAAGCTGAAGTTATCATTGATGTTGCCATAGCGGCTGTATTAGTTAAAATTTCATGTTTATTTTTTTTTTTCAATTGATTTTTTTCAGCACTATTGTTTTGCTTTTGATTAAGGTTACTCGGTTCAATTAATCGAATATTATCTACTTCAATATTTGACGGTAGAGGTGGTATGTGTTGTTCATTTATACTTTTTTTTTCATTAGATACTTCTTGTTCATCTGATACACTTTGTAAAATTTTCGATTCTTCGTTAGTTTTAGTATTTATATTTTCTTTTTGTTTCTGTTCTATATAATTCACATCCCATAACGTATTATTAGAAAGCATTTTTGATAAATTATGGTTATTTTTCACTGGCGTGTTTGTAATCATTGAATTAGGTATACCTACAAGTGGGCCAGTAGACCATTGATTAGGTTGATGCTGAACAGGTTGTGTTATTAGATCCATTGGTAAATTAGAGTTTGACATGTTTGATTGTGGCAACCACATCTGAATCATAGGAGCATGTGGAATATGATGAGCTATCAATTGCTGAGAGTTATTATAATCATTTTGATTTGGACTAGTTAAATAAGTTTGCGACTTCTGCTGGAAATTTATTCGAGGATAACCACTTTGCAGTACGCGCATATTTGCTTCGTTACTGTTTCTTGAAAAATCACCAATGTTTTGTGTAATTTTTCCACAATTATGCTCATTATTTTCTGTTATGTCAGAAAAAGCACCATGAGGAAATTGATTATGTTGATGTTGGGTTAAAGAATTTAATATATAGTCATTCATATTTGCATATGTGTTACTATTCGAACTCATTGCTTCTTGGCTACCAGCTGCAAATAACTGATCTTTTTTCAAACTTTCGGCAATAGCACTAAAAAGCTGATTACCAGCACACGGATTGAGTTCCACTAAAGCATTGCTTAATACAGATAAACTTGTTAAATATTCTGGTAACACAATACTTTGTAATTTCTGCTGAATTATTGCATCTTTTTCAGTTGGATTTGAGGTTAAAAACCATTCGTTTTTTGTTAATTCATTTAACATCAACATTTCTTGATGACGAATAAAATTTTGTTGTAACATTTGAAAATGTATATTTAGTACCTGCGAGATATCAACGGAATTAATTTTATTTTTAACAGCAACACATAAAGAATTTGCAGCTGATGTTACTTGATTCTTTAATTCTTCCCTATTATCATTATGTACCGAATTCTGTACTTTATCATGCGATTGAGAGATAACTGGGAGAGAATTTACGACTGAAACGTGGTCTGTATTAGTGGTTATCGGTATAAACTGACTGTTCGTAAATGGCATATTCCCATGGCATATTTTAATTAATTCTCCTAAAGTTCTAAAACTAGTATCACAAACCCTTCGTACGTTAAGAGTTTCATTAAAGTAACCTGCGCGATACCATTCGGTCATTTCTATTGCAGTAAATGGCCCTTGTACTTTTGATTGTGGATCGCGGTAATACCATAAATCATAATTTGAACTATTATTTTCTGCATTATGCATACTTCTTAAAGTGCTTGTGGAAGGTGTTAACGTCATCACCTGTTGTTTTAGATTATGTTGTAACGACGAAATATCAGTTGGCATTACATTATTATATGCAGGCATTGTTTTAGTTTCCTCTTTTGCGATAGTATTAGGAGTTGAAGACACGTTGTCTATTTGCTGACTACCAAGTTGTGCTGTTTCATTTAACATTATTGTCACAGAATTTGAAATTAATGAATTGTTAGATTTTCCTTCATTATCTGTAACAATTTCAATGTTTTTATTACTAGTACTTGTGTCGTCATCCATAATTAATTTTTCTACCATGTCATCAGCAACCTGTTTCATTCGATCTGAAAACTCATTACTTAAGGAGTTCTGAATGTTGCCTAAAGCTTCTGATGGTATAGGTATATCATCACTAACACTTTTTGATAAAAGTGTTTCAGGCAGTTTATTTTGATGGCAACTTTCTATGCTTTCTTCAGTTGATTCAATGACTTCCGATAGTTTCTTTTTTTCCAAACCAATATTCATGTTAGATTTTGAAGTATTGATATTGTTTTCTACAATTTGAGTTTTAATAATTTCATTTTGCATAGCAAGAAAATCATTTTTTACTAAATTATCGTTGGTTTTAGAATCTTTACAACTATTTTGCTTTGCATTTTTTTGATACATTGTGATTGGTGAACTTTCTTCTTCAACAGAACCATGAAATGCTCCACTAGAATCGAAAGTACCTCCACTATCTATAGGGCTCTCTATAGCCCATTCTGGCAAATTATCATCAGTAACACCAGCATTTTCAATTTCAGAACTGTTTTTCCATTGTTTGTTGTTTCCGATGATATTATTTGTGTTACCCTTAATACGATTTGCAAAACAGTTAGCAAAATTACTACTGTTTTGAGGATGTTTTATACCGTTTTTTTCTGAATAAGTTGTAGCTATAGATGAGTATGATCTTTGTACAGCAATATTTCCACTACCGTACACAATATCTGTACTGGGCGCAGAAGTTTCATCTTCTCGCCAGCTTGTAGAGCGCCCTTAGAAATAAAAAGTAAGGTAATAGGTAATATAAGCTATGAAAAATAAAAATAAATTCTTACCCCAACGGTTTGAATTTCCGAAGCCATTTGAATTATTACAACTACGCCATCCATCGCTGTTGTTTAACCCTGTATTATTATCTCCCAACACACTATCATTACGATTTCTTCGCCAATTTTCCATATTCCTTGTATGATTTGATATTTCTTTGCGAGGACTTGTAACCGGCGAACCATTCCAATCCAGACCAATATTTATGTTCCCGCTGGTACTACCCAAAGATTCTCCATTTCGTTCCGTCCAATTTCTATCAACCTTTAAAAGGTATTAAATATGTATGAAGAGTATATTTCAGAAAGAAATGCTTACATTATTAATTTTTAACATAAATTTAGTTATATACATATCTAAAAACACGTTTAAAAATTTGGAGTTCGCTTAATTTTAATATCCTTTACATAGCTTTACTACAAATCTATTTTGTACTATTTACTTACTAAGTTTTCTATACAAATAATATTCATATATGATTTTTTAACTTTGGGCTATAATTTATATAATTTATTTTCAATTCCGAATAATGCGTGCCGCTATTCTATCTATTTATCGAAACACATTCCACAAGCTTTTATATCAAGTACTTCTAAGATAAAATAGCCTTTTTTGAAGAGCTTAAGTGTTCGCAATCACTTGTTTATTGGCACCAAACACCTTTCCACGAAACATTCTTTTTAGATAGAAACAGGTTACAGTTGCTAGGAATCAGTCCAGAATATACAGTGAATGGTAAAGCAATTCAAAGTACAAGTATCTCATTGTTTAATATGTTATATTTTGCTTCCGTTTTCTGCACATACGACCGCTGGATGCGGTCGGTTGAAGAGTCGCAACAATATGCTAAAAGAATTTGCGATCTGTTCTTTCATTATAAAGACAAAGAAACCCTGCTGGACAGGATTTGCGTCTACAAGAGACACATTTAAATAATATCCAAATCTGTCACAAATTAGCACTTCGCGTTTTGACCGGTTTTCATCGTATGACGCATGTTAACCAACCACAGGCGGAATTGACAATGCTACTTATTAAGGACATAACGAGCTACTTTCAAAACAATGTCTTCTTTCGTACCACATAGATTGACATATAAATGACGTCCCAATGAACGAAATCCTTGTCGATTTCTTTTGTCGCCACATTAATACACTAGTCCGTGCCACAACAGATGTAACATCAGTGAGGTCGACTATAGCCTAGGACTGAACATCTCCAGCTTGATGTTCTTTCCATTAGTAATGTTGATTGTCATGAATATCAGGTAAAACTGATTACTATTCCAAATAGTTGAGTAATTCAAATATACTATGAATGTATTGTTTGATGCTATCTGCTTTTTCTTATGGTCTTTAAAAATCAATTCCACTTTGAAAATGACGCGGCCATATTTGACTAATTGGGCAATTGTTGTTACTTTTTTACTTCATCCGGATCAGTTGAAGTCAACAGTTTGTGAACCAAGCGGCTATGTTGGCTTATATTACCTTTTTCTATTCTTGAGGATATGCTGATATAATACAATTATTTTTATCTTACATTATTGATACTTTAACTATAAGCTCCTATTGCTGTCATTTGTTGATGAGAGCAGAATCTTTAGAAAAGATTCTTTTTTAAGTTGGCAATTCTTTACAAACGCGAACCAGTTCGATAATTTACAAATAATTTAAATTGTAATTTCCCCATAAATAGACTTTTGTCTTTTATATTGGTTCCTATTCTTTGAAGATGATCCCTATTGGAAAGTTACTGTCAATGTTACAGATTGCAAGTTACATGCTACAGATGCAGATAAATTGCTTTCTTATTTCCCAACTAATGTGCAAAAACTCATTCATTTCAACAAGACAGCATACACATTCTGATTGTTACAGAAAACATTCGTTGACCGCATAATAATCTCCCAGCAAATTGAGTTCCATGATCATATAATCTTACCCCTCTGAATTATTTTCTATGATGATATGTGAAGTCACTGGTATACAAATTCAGTTTCTTGAAAATTGGACTTTCACATTTCGTTAGAGCCACGGCACACACACATTTTATTTTCAATAGTCATTTTTATTGACATTAACATATTTCAATGTAGTGTAGTCCGCTTTAAAAACCAAACACTGAAAAAAACACTCTTTACTTTAGTTCCATTTCGTGAAATTTTTGATTGAGTTATATCGCCTTAATATGTTATGAAATAATTTAGACATTGCTATAACAAAATTTGTTATTGCACACGTTTATATTTTATTTCTAACTTTAATTCTAACTAAAATAAAAAAAATTTAGTTGGTGTCATAGAAGACATCTTCAATGTTAATGAAATCAAATTTTGCTCCGTACTTAAATGCAAAAACAACGAACAATACTTGTAATCTTTTAAATACCTTCAATACTTGTGTACGAGTGTCCTCATCCACCAAAACTGATTGTCGCTGATAAATTGAATGGTACAGTGATTTTCCTCGCATTCGACCCCTCTCGGCAACTCCACCGCGTGCACCACCTCTAGCGACGGAACTAAATCCAACTGGGCTACGTCGCACCCACATCGAACGTTGCTACAAATATTCGAAATTAAATTTCCAATTAAAAAGGTATATGCAATTATTATATGCAATAATTTTTTATTTACCGTAGGTGCGGAAATGCCCTGCAGTATCATTTCATCGTCAGATGTCGGTAGCAACGCAACCGGATATTGAACTTTTTCTATAAAAAGCTTTTTATACATAGGTAAAACATCTGGCATATTACAATTTTTATCGAAAAGAGAAAGCATTTCTTCACGCCCATATCGAAATTCTGGTAATAAATTCTTAGAAGATGCTCCATGATTTGAATTCATTGTACTAATAATTCCAATATTTGAGTTGTTACTAACAGAAATATTACTGGCAATGTTAGAATCTGTAGACATATTTCTTAACCATTCTGGTCCAAATTTCATTGAATCTGTCATTTTTAAACACAATGTTAAAGTTATGTTTCCTAAAAATATAATTTTAGAAAAATTATTCTGAGTAAAAAGTTATATTTTTTTTAAATTGCTTATATTGTAATACATAATATTTAGTAATATTTGACTTTTTGAAACTATTTACATAGCTACTATTCAATTTCTCTTGTATAAAATATACCAAAATATCTTTTTTAACGATTTTTATAAATAAAAATATTGATCATTTGTATTTGCACAGTGGAACCCAAGTATAACCATATTGATATTAAGGACGTGTGCGAGTTAGGCTAAGTTGGTGCTAAACCAAATGGGAGATTTTTTAGGATTTTTTGTACTGCACACATTTAACCATTTATCAACACGTATCGACACATGACTACATTGTCAGCTCAACTTAGAATTTCCCTCACTTAGAACGCAACTTACCCTAACTCGCACACGTCCTAAGAACATTGATTACGGAGGATAGGTTAGCTTAGGTTTTGAAATACATTTTTAAAATGTAAAGAAAATAAATTAGCAAAGAAATGACGATAATGCTATCAATATAGGCGAGTTAATGATGACTAAAGGTAGTAATAAGGTAAAGGTATTTAGCCCTATTCTGAATCGTGTGGGAATGGGAATTTGTTCCCTATTCTCAATTTTGCTATTCTGAATTATTTGGAAATGGGAGTTTTGGTTCCCTATTCCCAATTTGTCTATTCTGAATCATATGTAAATAGGAATTTTTTTCCAATTTTGCACAAATTCTTTCCCAAGCAGATTGTTTTAAACTTAAATTGTTTTGTATTAAAAATAGTTTTATTTAATATGAAAGTAACTTATAATGATCAGATTTTTGAATATATTTTAATAAAATTATTATAATAAATTTAATATTGGTTGATTAGATTTTCGAATTTGTTTAAATATAATTATTATAATCAATTTAATATAGCTAAATTTTTCTTTAATAATATATTTTATTAAAATTATTATTATAATAAAAGTATTATTAGAAATGTAATATATTTAAATTTTTATTTATTTATTTTATCCACTAGGGTTTTTTCCACAAGTTAAAGTATTAACTATTGTTATTTAAAACAATAGATAATGAAAGAAACCCATATTCTGAAATGAATGGGATTCCTAGAATACGTTAAAATAAACTTTTGCAATTATGTGCAGGTAAAACATTGCTTCTTTTTTCATCCGCACAATCATAAACTATTATTACAGTTTATTAATTTAAGTACATTTCTATCCTAACTATAAAAATAAATACGAATTTTGCAGAGGAACTTAAATTTTAGTTAAATTGATCATTTCAAGTAATAAAAAAGACATTTTACTTTGAAATAATAAATTATATACATATTTAAATAATAAAATAAATAAATAAAGTAAAAATTTTCTATTATTTACTTATAAAATATTCATTTTATTTATTTCTCACAATTTGTGCAGCAGAAAAATAATGCGATTTTTACATTTAAATCAACATATGATGCGCAATTCTTTTCTTTCTTTTGCTCATTTTCGCACTTTTCGTCATTCAAAAGTGCCATGGTTGCCAAAATTTAACAAAACAAACTTGAAACTGCTGTCTCCCAAGCAATTCAGAATAAGGGAGTTGTGTTCTTGGGAATAGCGTGGGAATACTTGTTTCCTGGGAGTATTTAGAATTGCTATTAAAGGTAGAGTAACTCGAAATTTTGGATGCAAAATTCCATTTCATAATAATGAAGTCAGATTCTCTACATAACCAACAAATACTTTGCAACAACATATAAACAGAATATAGCGCACAAAGTGTTGTCACTACTTTGATCAAAATATTCGAAAAACCCCTAAGTTTGTTTGAACTTTTTTTTTATTAAAATTAATTTCTGAATTTTGTTTAATAGAAATCAACATACCTACATGCTAAATGTCGGAATAACATGGGGTTGCCAAGCATTCACCATCATATTACCTAATTAATTTATAAACAGAGCCCACCACGATTTTTTTGATTGCATGGGTATTCGATAATTGCCCAAAGCGTTATCGTGCAAATCTACCCCAACTATATGCTAGTTTATTCCACTATTGCATTTGGAACTTTGATTGTAACTTTTTAGAGCGATCATAATGTTTATGTTTTTTGTGGATTTACTTTTCTATGATTAGTGGAAACTGTAACCAGTGCATTGTCTTTCCAACGTATGGCTAATACCTCATTTTTACAATCAAAGGCAGTTGCACCATCACCTTCATCATTTGTATCAAATATGCAATGTAATACTGATCAAACAAATAAAATACACACCTAACTTTTCAATAATTGCTTGTATTCTTTCACTTCAATATTTTCTGATAATTCACCATAAGAGGGAATTCTCATCGATTGATTCATACTGAAACTCAAGCTGACCAGCAATATCTAACGAAACTGTAGCATGTTCCTCTATGACATCGTCATCAGTTTGCTCGGCATCACTAACTTCGCCGACATTATACGGCATATAAACAGCATTGAATTGTATTCTCCTAGCTACTTCATCATTACTATTTTCTGTTTCTAAAAAAGACATCACCTCTTTAAGTGTTAAGCAATTTTCTTTTAACATTTATCACAAATCCATATCTTACGAACAATTTTTGAACTTGGAGTCTGGTACACATCAGTTCGGAAGCAAAAGTTATTAGCTCTAACATGCTTGTTTAAATGAAAAATTACTATACATATCGGCCCATTGGTAAATAAAATTACCAGTGAACTATACTCATAAATTTTAAGCATATTGAGTCAATACGGTACTGATATATATAATAGGTTTAATGATTACTGAAATTAATAATTATTTATTTTATTTCAACAATTTTTTTTATTTAATTGTAAATTTATCTTATTTTGGAGTTCTGGAAAAATGTCACCCATTTGGATCCAATTAATTGGAATATAATTTCCTTTAATTTGTTTTCTCAAAATAAACAAAAAAATAATATAAAAGATAACTATTATATGCGAAGATATATACTCGATTAAAGTGCTGGTAAGTGAAATTACCAGTCGGGCCGATATGGGTTAATTGTCATCATTTAATGTGGTAATTAAGATGTATTTCCTAAAATCCAAAAGATTTTTAAAAACATTTTGCAAAAAACAGTAAATTTCTGTTTAAAATCTAGTTTAATTTTAACAGACATGACAGATAAAAAAAGCGAAAATAGTTTTTTTTAATCAACAGACAAAAACAACAACATTAAATATAAATTAAAATTTTAGTCAGACATCTGAAATTCACCCTGTAATGCTAGATTTTTTATTTGCAAAATAATATTTTGCTCCAAATGCAGTGAATTCTTAGCTCACATAGTTATAAATATGATTAGGAACAGAGTATTGCAATATTTTAAATGTTGCAAAGAGATATGACCCTTCATCTAGCTCCTAACATCAAAAAAATATTAAAAACATAACCAAATAAACCTTTGATAGCCGTTTATATAAAGCCCGCCTTGAGGCGGGGCTGGGAATTAATAAAAAGCAAAAATATCTATTCACACGACGACGTATTATTGTAGTTTGATTATCGAGTTAAGCTTATACTGGATTCACATGAGGGTTTTGATTGTAATTTTAGCTGCAATTTCGAATTATTCTTGAACTCGATAGCAAAACAAGTTGAAATCAAATGATTTGTATGAGAATTTTAGCAGTTGAAAATAAAATTGAATCGCAATCTCTACAAAATCAAGTTGATTTTAGCTTGAGCCGTAATTTTTTCTTTCAGAGTTGTAAAAACACATCATTAAGTCTGGTTGAAACAAATTGGCATCACTTTTAAAATATGTTAAGTGCTTGTTTTTGACATATGTTTTTTGTAGTGTTGTGTTCAATATGAAATATAAAAATTGTAAACATTAAAAATTATTTAATTTAAATAGAAGAAAACAAAATAAATATTAGAAAGGCAATAGTAAGCATTTTTATTTTATATATTTAAATTAATTTATTTATGTGGTTGAATTTAATAGTATATGAAATGTCCATATGATTTTAAGCCATGATAGAAATTTTACAACATACTTCCATTGAACATTCACAATACAGATTTTTGAATTTGGTTGCACTGAAACTTAAGTCTTACAATTTTTTGCGAGTAAAACCTAACTCTAGTTGTATGAATGCTCTAATAGTACCTCTTGTGATTGTTTAAGAATAACTTGGCATCACTGCCTAAATTAGTAAACATATGACAAGTAAAAATATTTTAAACAACAAATTTGTGATTGATAAATACATGTACATACAAAAATAAAATAAAATGAATGACACAAAAAAGTTCTTGGTGAGCATTTTAACTTATATTTGAATTGACATAAAAGTATACATTTTTTTAAGGCTTTATCCAATTATAACGGAGAAAAATAAAGAAATAAGGAGGATCCAAAGCGAGCGGCACATTGACCAAATATTTAAAATTTTTGATAGCTCTAGCTCTTCAGAAGGCAATACAAGATCGTCAATTAATTCGTTTATATAATTTTCAAACTTCTAACATCACTAGTTAATGCTAAATGAGCAGTATTTAATACTGTTTTAGTTTTCTTGCAATTGTCTATAACTTTTTGCATTTATTAAAATGATTATATTTTGTATTTATTCATTAATTGCATTTTTTAATAAAAAATTATTCGGAAAATCATCACAAATTTTATTAAAAAAATTATTTTAAATTTACATTTTTAAAATACTTAAATTTACTCAACACTCGCAATAGTTATAAATCATAGACAAACTTTTCTGTTATCTGACTGGAATTTACCATTTTCCTCCAAAAAATCATTCACAATAGATCGGTTTTAATATTTGGCGCCATTGTAGTGCGAGAGGCTTATTCGTTAAACGGTTTCAGGAAAGTGGACTTATTTTTGTCCACTTAATTTTGTTTTTGCTTTGCATATAAGTTTTTAAGCGACATGTGTTAAAAAGATGCACCTTTTCAAGATTTTAAGAGCATTGTTGTTGCTTCTCATATTTACGTTCGTACGTTGCAAGTATTTTTTGCTACTCTAGTCGTAATCTTTTCTTTCAGAGTAGGAAAAAAATATTCAGTAAAAAAAAAAACAGCAATGCTCTTAAAACTCTCAAAATTAGGTTTTACTTGCAAAAAAATTTAAGACGTAAGTTTTATTACGGCCAAATTTAAAAATCAGTCTATTATGAATGTTTACTGAACATATGTTTTAAAATTCAAGTTGCCGTAGTACATATTACACAGTAAAAAACTTGTGCTATTGTGAATAGTTTTGAGGAATAAAAGAAATCTTCATGCAAAATGAACCATCTGACTTGCGACATATTTACACATAATGTTAAAATACATCGAATATTTGAACAAGTAAATTATTCATAAAGTTGTACAAATGTAGTAAAGAGCAGCGCAAATAGGCTGTTTCACGTGATCATCTCAAAGTAAGAAATAGACGTTCCCCAAATGTGAACCACTAAAATGTATGCATCGGAAAGTAAATTTTAATATACTAAACGCATACTAGTCTAGTCTTAAAAAAAAAGACAAGTAAAACTAATTAAATCACAACGTTTTCGTTTATTGCGTATGCTTCTCTACTATTAAAAGAGCGTTGCCATATCAAAATGTTTCGTAGTAAAATTCAAAGTTATTTAAATGTTTTTATTTACTTTTTGCAAAACAAGTTTTGTTGCGATTATCCTAATTTGTTTATATGGCGGCCAAAGAGCGAGATGATTATATAAGCAAGTCTATTGAATGGGTACTAGATGTAAAATCAGAAATTCTACTAACATTAAAAATTAGTTTAATGTTATTGTCTTTAAGCATCTTATTCAGTAAAACTTTTTCCCATAAAGCTGTTCAGGTCTGTTCTCATATTAGGAAAATTTTGAAAATAAATTTTTAAAAGCTGTTTGCGAATTCGTAAATCGGAGTAGTTTTTATTTTATGTTATCATTAGAAAATATTTTTTTTTGTTTTTGGAGTTTCATAATTAATTAGACTGTTTTGTTAACAAATTACTTATTATAAAGGGTATTTACGCGTTGTTTATTTTTTGTTTGTGATAAGAAAGTTTTATTTTTCAAAAAACAAACTATATATATAAAATTGCAAAGGTTATTAAATTTTTAGAAGGGTTTTCGAATAACAAAGAAAGAAATAAAGGACAAACACAAAAATTTATTTTTAATTTTATTGAAATTTTTTCAATAAACAGCGTTGTATGGTCAGCCAAATTTCAATAAAATTAAAAATAAATTTTTGTGTTTGTCCTTTATTTCTTTCTTTGTTATTCGAAAACCCTTTAAATATAATAATGCTTCTTGTCATTCAAAGTTATTTTAACTTTTTATTAACTACTAATACTTTATTCAAATATTAACTTGTAAAAGTAAAGAACAATAGTTAAAATATAATATTTTCACTTCTAACGAATGGGTATGTAGATTAAATAGCATAGCTTCTTGTAAATCAAAAATTCGCTTTACATATAGTAAGTAAACAATATGCAGTAAAAATGTCTCTACAAAAAGGTGCTTTGAACGATAATAGGCAAATACCAAAAGTAAACTTTCAATTGCTGCTTGTGTTTCTAAATAGAGTAGTTTATAAGCTCTGTTCTTATTGAAAACACGGCAAGTGTTTTGGTAGTTTCATAATTAAATAAAATAAGTGACAACAAATACTGAACTTAGAGCATTGACAGTTGTGCAGCCTTGGTTTGTGATAAACACGTTATATCGTTCTAATGACAGGCACGAGTTCTAAGCCTGCACTTGGTCAAAAAATTTTATACGGACTATAAACTAATTAAATAATATTGGATTATCCCAAAGACATGATGAAGAGTACTTGCAATACTCAATAAACAGCGTTGTATGGTCAGCCAAATTTCAATAAAATTAAAAATAAATTTTTGTGTTTGTCCTTTATTTCTTTCTTTGTTATTCGAAAACCCTTTTAAAGAAAAAAATTTATCTTGATTGAACGTTATTATAAATAACATATTTTGTGCAATGGAACGAAATAAAATTTTAACTTCAGTTCTAAAGTTTAACCAATAATAGCTTATCTCATTCATTTTTCTTTTTGATAAAAGTATCACATATCCAATGAAATTCATCGTGTATGCTTAATTTTTAGACATCAGTCACCATACGGTTAATCCAGCCATGGCGATTTTCATATTCTTCTTGGCAATTATGTATAATTTAATCGATTTTTTGGTAGTAGGCATATCAAACCAAAAAACATGGCTCTCAACCAAATTTTTAAAACCAAAGTAACAAAACCATATTTCAGTTGTTGATTATGGTAGAGTACCTTCAACATGAGCAAAAATAGTTTCTTTCGTCTATGAATTATTTTTTTTTTGTTTGTCAGTTGTCAAAAGTTGTTCAGATATAAATAAGAGTAACCAAGTTATTCTACTTAAAATCCTAACAAACAGAAAAGATCAAATATTATTTGATGAAACAGCCAGAAATAGAAATACTATAAATGCAAACACTGCTATAGTAGTTATTTGCAGAGGTATATCTTTGCTTTTATATATTACATAGCTTGATTTTATTGGAATTAAGGAACTAAAGGCACCACTTATATATCCTCGTGCTAAGCAATTACTTGTTACGTGTCACGTACGTTCAGCCCCAAATGTGTGTCTCAACATCACTTCCACTCCTCATATCTGTTTGCTTAATATGCTACTACCGCAACGTAGATTATCATTAGAATCAGGACTATATAAATTAAAACCATTCGATGGATTATGCTTTCTGTGCTATATTTATCTTTTAAAATACCCCCCAAACAAATGTTATATATGTACCACCTAATAGGTGCGCTATGTTTCTCATAATTTGTTTGAAAAAGGTCTTCAGGTTCTTTTAAAATAAAAAAAAACGTTTTTGCTAAACATTTTAATTTTTTAGATTTAATTCGGTGGTGGTTCATACAAGTTTTTTTTTACTTAATTCTTTACTTAATTAAATATTAAGCTCCAATTTGCAATGAGTTTTTTGCTGATGCTATCCTGTGATCACTCACACACCGGTCTTCTAAACATTCATAATCTAATCGAAATTTTTGATAGTATGCTGGCCAGAGCCGTAACAGTCATAAACAACTTTCAAGTGTGTGAACCATCATAATATATGATTAACATAATAGGTCTGTTCCACGAGCTACTCGTAGGAGAAAACTCAAGTAAAACACAAGTAAAATTTACACGAAAGTTTACTATTGGAATGCACTTGTGTATACTTTGTTACTACGAGTAACTCGTGAAACAGATCTAATATATATTAATTATTTCAACAGCGATTTAAACAATACCAAGACTTCCCAGACCTACGTCAAGAATCCACAGACACTGCTGTCAGCTTTAGCATTTTTAAACCCAGCAAATGAAGAACGTTAAATGCTTCTTCTCGCAAGCTAATAAATGCTTTCTACATTTCTAATAGACCGATGTTGGAAAGGTTTATATTCTCTTCTCTTTATTGATGTGAAGGGTTTATACGCAACTCAATTACTTATGAGAAAATTTGATAGAAAAGTAACTAAATTACTTATTTTGCATATATAACCAATATTGTAAAAAATTTTTGGGTTAGCGCAAGACTTCTAAGTTAAAATTACATTTTTTTCTTGTTCGTTATTATTTGTTTTGACAGACAATACCAAGCATGGACTGTTAACCACAAAGCGAAAAATCAAGTTTATGTTTAGTTTGATAGCAGAATAAAACACAATAAATAAATTTATTTTCATTCCTCTGATATATGTATAAAAATAAGAGGTTTTTTATAACTTTCACTTTATAGATTACTTACACACAATAGAAAAATTATTGCAACTTGAGAATATATTTTAAAAATTTTATGCGTCAATGAGGAATTCATTTTAATGTAATTTTAAATATTTTCAAACAACATTTTTATTTATAATGACTCTTCTATGACTTTTTATCGAACAAAATGTAAGATATGTAAAGACTCATGTTGCATCTACTGCAACTAGAATATTTTATAAGTCAAATTTCCCATATTTTATAACTCAAATTGTTATACCATTTATACCATTATATATATTCGTATTATTTATATGTGATGAACGTTTTACCTCAATAGTTGTTTAGTCGACTTAACTTGATATTGTAGATATTACAATCTAACTTTACTGAACACATGATAATCACTTTATAAGATATGTGATATGTGAGTCTTTTCATTATATATATATACATATGTAGATTTTTATATCATGATACATAAATATATATAAACAAAATCTATACTTTACATACTTACATTCTATATATTTATATAACAGAACAAATATCTATATACAAAAATGACATATGCATGTATACATATATCTACACACATACGCGTTTATAACCATCCTACAAAAAATAGAACATTAGACACCTTAACCTGTAAAATAATATGAAGTCAGGAACTCATGAGCCTGGATGAAATTTGTGTAATCAAAATAGCAAACTAAAGTTAATTTTAAAATTTCAATGCAATAAGTGCCCCAACAATCGTGAAAAATATTGAAATATTCTCGATAACATTTGATTAAAATATATGCCACTACGTTTTGTTCAACTTTTTGGTACTTACGCAAAAGTTTTTTTTTATATAAAGTTGAAGACGAATACAACAACTTGGTTAAACACAGTTTTTCTAAAACTGGGGATGAAGAAACTTTAATATTTTTTGCAGTTTACAATAAAAATTCTAAAATATTTTAAGGAACACTTTACTTTTCCAAAATTGTACGTGTACGAACCGAGAGTTAACGAATCTTAACGAGGCACTTCTTACAGGATGAATATGAAAATATTTTCTTTTACCACAAATTTCGTAAGCATGCTGGACAGCTTTTCTCATACAAACGTTATTACTGCCCCGTATAAAAATGTGCCCGTTTCGAGAAAGGTTACAGGGGGCTACCTCTACTAATATATTCAGCGTACCAATTTTATTTGATGAGTACATATATTAGCCTTAAGAGAAAAAATTTATAGTAAATTGCAGGATATAGTAAATATCGAGTTGGATAAATGAGATAAAAATTAGGGAAATTAGGTATTACCATTGTGACAATTTTATAAGATGTTTAATAAATAAATAAATACATTTGAAAACTTATAACCAAAAATAATAAATAAGTGCAATATATAAATATATATATACGTATATTTACATAAGTGTACTGCAAAAAATCCCTAGGAATTTTGACTCAATTTACTCAAACTCGCACACGGCCTTATACACATATAGGTATGTTATATTATATGGAAATATACTAATATTTAATTTATATGGTTAAAACTCGTAGTATGATTTATTAGAAAAGTCTCTCATAACATATAGTATACAATTGTATGCGAATTTCGTCGTACGAATAAATCGTCTCTTTCGTGCGAACATTTGATTTAGCAAAATATGTTATTTGAAAATCATGCGTCTATGCAAAATTGAAAGTGTCAATAATTGTAATCGATTACGTAAACACCGAAATATTATTTTATTCACAATTTATTTTATTATATATATTCGTTTACAATCAATTTGTTATTCTTTTTATTTTATCGACGCGTAACGTGTTTCACATTTGTGTGCTTTTAGATCCGTTTTTCCTCTGAACTGTCATTCATATCAACTATCATGCTGTCTCCCAGGACTGCATTCGGCTCAGTGTTGCTTTTTCTGTAACATTCCGCCCTCCCGTGAATCTTCGCAAGATTCACTAATCTGACAAGCGGCTAGCTTGGTGACTGGACGGGTTGCATTAGGATAAGACAGCCCAGCGCTTCTCACGGCGACGACCAATAGTAACATGTAATGGTCCAAGCAGGTCAACACCTGTGTATGAGAATTGTCGTACATTCGGCGTTATACGGTTGACTGGGATCAGACCCATTAACGGTGGCATTGGCTTGGTGGTTTCAAGGCAGCATTCCATACAATTGCGTTGGACTGATTTCAGAAGTGGCTTGGCACCAATTACCCTTAACTTTTGGCGTACGGCGTTGATAATTGTAGCTTGATTTTGATGTTTGTAAGCAACCTGATAGTGTTTCATTATTAGTTCGAAGACGACATAGCGCTTCGGCAATATAATAGGGCTTCCTCCAGGCGACCACTGGCACGAAAAATTTCTTCGTTGTCTACGTATGGCGTTAATTTGTATAGCTTGCATTTTTTGGAAAGAGATTGTTGAAGCTTAAATAGACTCTTCTCCTCCGAAAAACAGTCCCCCAGTACCAGTTGCATTATAAATTTTTCGGCTTCATTGATTTCACTTGGTAGTAATGGTGGCAACGACTGCAAATGATCACACTCTTCTGTAAATAGTGGATCTCGTTTTCTACGGAATTTTTGAACAATTCTTAGAAAGCAAGCAACTGAATGTTTAAATCTAAAAAGGAACTGAAACGATTAAATTCTATCAAGGTTTCACTGGCCTGATATTGTAGTAGTATCCGTGTCGTAATCTCTTCTTCTGTCCGTATGAAACGAAAATTTAGCAATTGGCCTGCTATTTTGTTCTTGACGTAATAAGGTTGGCCCTTTTAACCAAATATTGTCATTGTCTATTTTAGCCACCTCTTTGGCTCTTGTTGCAGCGTCAAAAGGGTTCATCTTACTCGGCACCCATCTCTATTGGTCTTCTTTCATTAAGGTCAATATTTCAGCTATATGATGCCCAACAAAGGGTTTGAATAGGTGATTTCTTGAACTTACCCAACAAAGAACTGTTTTAGAATCAGTCCAAAATACTATACGGCGAATGTTTATTTCATGTCTCTTCACCACCAGCGTTGATAATCGAGTAGCCACGACTGCAGCTTGCAGTTGCAACCTTGGCAAGGATAGGATATTCTTAGGCGCTATGCGAGTCTTACCACAGACAAAAAGTACATCGACTGCATATTGGTGTTAAATTCGCAAATACATGACTGCAGCAAATGCAACTTGACTGGCATCCATACATATATCAGGTTGGACCTCTTTGGTAATGTTGAGATGCAGCGAGTAGCATCTTGGTACAAAAATATTGCCTATTTTGGCAAATTCGTCCTACCACAGAAACCATTTTTGAGATAACGTAGGTGGTAACCTGGTTTTCCAGGTTTCTTGCAATAATACTTTGGCAACAAGTAAAAAATTCGCTTAGATGCCGTATGGATCAAATATAGCCATCACAATTCCAAAAAATTCTCGGTTTGTTGGACCCTTTTACCCTCGATAGATCCTTTAGCTATGCGATGAAATTTTGTTAAGAATTGAAATAAATCAATTGTCACGTTCCAACACATACCCAAGATTTTCTCGGTTTGGCTCTGCCGATTCAAACAGATGGCCTCTGCACTTTCACCTACATTCATGACGTTCTGTACATTTAACGCCGGCGTTTGCGTTAATTTGTACCACTTGCTGACAAATTTGTAGAGCGTGTTCTTCTGTATCGAAACTGGCAACGTAATCGTCTACGTAAAAGTTTTCATGGATGGCTGATTCAGCTTCTGGATATTGACTGTAATAACTTTCGGCAATATGATTCTTAACAAATTGAGGGCAATAGGGCGAACATACTGCTCCGAAGATCATAGACATCATGACATATTGTTTGATCGGTACCATTTCGCACCCCTTCTCCATAAGAATCTTTAGGCATTCTGGTCGGCTGGTCGTATTTTAACCTGAGAAAATATCTCTTTTATGTCTGCAGCAACAGCAATACGACCCTGACGTAGTTTAAAAAGTATTTCTATTAATGGTGTTGTTGACCAATTTTAATAGCAAAACGAAGTTGTTTGTGTGTATGTGATGCTTTAAAATCTTAAAACAAATTTATTCATGTCTAGTACTTAAAATTAATTATTTTTCACTTACTTTTGGTCGTGACAACCGCCTTGCCTCTTCCGGAACAGTTCATGTGTGCACTGGGTTGCATTTTCTAATTATAGCTGCACGGTTGCAACGACCAAAGCAAGTTTACAAACATTTTACAAACATTAACCTTTGGGTATGGAGTGTAGTTCTAACATTCTCCCCCCAGTATCTCTTTAATAAGAATACGACTTACTCTAAACTGCCGCTCCACGAACTTCTAATACGGCTAATTTTGCTGCAGGTCTATGATATTGCCCTCGAGTAGTCTGCACTATGGCGCTCCTGGTCTGCCCGTCCCGTGCTTTAATGGCACTAATTACAATTCGTTTCGGCCATGTGTAGCGAGGAGAATTTGGGTCAACAATAATGACGACATCACCTGCTTCGATAGGTTTTATCTTACCAAACCATTTCGTCCATCTTGTCATCGTTGGAAGCACCTCTTGTATCCATTTTTTCCAGAACCGATCGGTAAGGTATTGCGAATGCCTCCAGGAGGATTTCACGTGCTCGTCGTTACTATCGAACTTCCCCGGCGGCTTGTTGCCGAAAGATGACCCCAACAAGAAATGATTCGGAGTTAACGCTTCTTCGCTTGCTGTTTCAATCGACAAATAAGTGAGCGGTCTGCTATTTACGATTGATTCTACCTCGCAGAACAGGTTATGCATCTTTTCATCATTAATTTTTGCTTGCGGGCTTATTATTGCTCCTAACACTGTTTTTATGGATCGCACCATCCGCTCCCACGCTCCACCCATGTGCGGCGCAGCTGGTGGAAGAAAAACCCATTGTGTTTCCGGACTTGTAAATTCAGCTTGTAATTCATTGAAGTCTACGTTCTTTATTGATTCTCGTAACTCCTTTTCAGCTGCTGTTAAGTTGGTTCCATTGTCACTATAGATGACATTCGGCACTCCTCTTCGGGCTATGAAATTTCGTATCACTATACAACACGAGCTGGCTGACAGGCTATAAGCTATCTCCAAATGCACTGCTCGACACGTATGGCATATAAAAACGACGCCATAGCGCTTCTCTGAGCGTCTTCTTACTGTTACAGTATACGGGCCAAAATAATCTATTCCAACATGTGAGAATGGTCGGGAGTATGCTGATAGTCGTGTTTCTGGTAACACACTCATTTCCTGCGGCTTTGGACTCGCATCACGAACCTTGCAATGTTGGCAACTATTTCTTACCTGCTTTAACAGTCTACGCAGTCCCAGAATGTGGTATTTCTGAAAGATTTCGTTAACCACCGTTTCATGATTTAGATGTTTCCATTTTCGATGATACCAGTCTACGATCAATTTAGTTATGTAGTTTTTCCTTGATAGTATAATTGGGAATTTGGTTGAATCAGCGATGCATGCGGCTTTATCTAATCTACCTTTCATTCTTAAAACATTCTGTGCATCTATGAATGGTGAAAGTTTTCGCAAAGAGCTAATTTTAGAAAGAGTAATATTAGCGGCTCTACTTAATGCGGTCATTTCTTTCTTGTAATCCTGTAACTGGGCAGTCTGGTACAAGAAATTTTCACTCCATTTCAGTTCCTCGACTGACAAGCATTGGTTTACAGATTTCTTCTTTTTCATTTCATCAGTTGATAGTAAAAACATAAATCTTTTTACATAGGCCATGCATCGAACTAAACGTTCCCACTTTGAAAATCGGTAGACATCTATGAGAGGTTCCTCCTCTGCTACATGAGCCACCAACAATCGTTGCTTTCTGATTTCAGAATCTTCGTTATATTTCTGTACGCCAACATTATTTGGCCAACAAGTTTCTGCTTCATACAGGAACTTCGGTCCCTTATACCAAGGGTTTTTCCAAGTAAAGTCTGGATTACTAGTTTGTTTTGTAGCCAAGTCCGCAACATTTAATTTAGTAGGAATGTACCGCCATTGTTCCACCTCGGACAACTCCTGGATTTCTGCTATGCGGAACATTACAAATTGTTTGTAATCTCGTGGGTCAGATTTTATTCACGATAGAACAGCCTTTGAATCGCTCCAATACGTTATACTGGTCACTTTCAAGTCTATTGACCTTTTGATGTTGTTTCCTAGGCGTGCTCCCAATCCCGCCGCGAATAGTTCCAGTCTTGGAATTGATATTGGTCGTAATGGTGCAACTTTTGCTTTAGAACATATCAAGGAAACATCTATGTTGTTGCGACTTTTCGCTCTTAGGTACACCACCGCTGCATATGCAACCTCACTTGCGTCCACAAAGACATGCAATTCAATGGAGTCTGAATCCTTATTAACCGTAGCGAAGAAACATCTCGGTATCTTCACATTTTTCACACCGCGAAGCAGCGACAGCCATTTGTTCCACTCATCGACTAGCTCATTAGGAATAGCGTCATCCCAGCTAACTCCACTTCGCCAAACTATTTGAAACAAAATTTTTACGTCAATAATGTAAAAGGTAAGCATCCCTAAAGGGTCGAATATTGACATCATCAATCGTAGCAACTCTCTCTTCGTAGGTAATCTATATCCACTTAGAACATCCTCAGTCGCTTTGGTAAACTTCAGATCAAATGTGAGCATATCAGTGTCGGTTTGCCAATGGATTCCCAATACCTTCTCTACCTCAAATGTATGGTCTATACGCCTTCCGGCCGAGCAAAATTGAAACTCCTGGCCTTGGTTACCTATAGCTTTCAGCACCGCGTTAGAATTTGAAACCCAATTGCGAATATGGAAATTTGCTTTTTTATGAATATTTCTAACCTCATTGACTAGATTAATCGCTTCCTCCACTGTGTCGACGCTATCCAGCATGTCATCTACATAATGCCTTTGTAAAATACATTTCACTGCTCGCGGAAACTCGATTTCGTATTCGCGTGCATTGTTATTTTTTACCAGTTGTGCCTACGATGGTGAACATGTTGCCCCAAAACTCATAACTTGTAGCAAATAAACGTCTGGGGGTCTGCTATCGTCACAATTTCTCCACAGGAAGCGTTGTGAATGTTGATCTTCTTCTTTCACGAGTACTCGATGAAACACTTCTTTTATTTCGCCACTTATACCAATTTTTCCGATTCTGAAATTAACAAGAACATCTACCAACGAAGTGAGCAGATCTGGACCTTTCTCCAAACACGCGTTTAACGAGACTCCGTCATATTGTGCAGCTGCATCCCACACTAGTCTTCGCTTTTGTGGTTTATTCGGATTACTGACTGTAAACATAGGTAAGTACCACTTACGTGGATAATACTCCTCGGCTTCGTTAGATTTCAGCTGGCGTATATAACCTTTCGACTTCATGTCGTCGATGTGATCACACACCCAGCTTTGCAACGGTACATTGGATTGCATCTTGCGCTCACAGCACTGAAGTCTACGCAGCGCCATTAGGTAATTATCTGGCATAGTAATATTATTTGATTTCCAAAGCAATCTTGCTACAAGGTATTCACCATCTCGACTTATTTTTGATTGCATACTTTTTTGTTGTTCCAACTCCATATTTTTTAGTTTTTCTCGACTTTCAATAACATTTTCATTGCTGACAAAATCTTTCACTAAACGCTGCAAACTTAGATCATCATCGCATTCACAGATGTGTAAATTAACGTTTCCCTAATAGTATTAGGTTCGTGCTTAATTATTCCACATATTCTACTGGTAGTCCCTTTAAATGTTTATACTTATCGGTAAGTTCTGTCATATTTAAAGATTGCTCGGGTAGCTCCAGCTTAGCTACTGAACGCACATTGCACAACGAATACCTTTTACCTTCTCGTATTTTGGAGACTTGCAGGTTGACCAGCTCAGAATCAGGTTCCTTGCGTACCGTACCATCTGTCCATCGTAAACAAAGATATTTCGTTTCACCTTTAATCCGCAGTTGTCTTAATACGTCTTTTTCTATTAACGTTGGACCAGATCCGTCATCCAGAAAGGCATAAATGTTGCAGGTAACACCATTTCCATATATTGTTACTGGAACAATTCTGTACAGCGCTTGTGAAGTTAGTTGATGATGAACCGCTAACGTTTCATTTGCCCCACTTGCAGTTGAACTTATTTGGTTATGTAGCAATGGGTGATGTTTCATGTTGCAATTGTGTATACCGCACTCTCGGGTCTTCTTGCACGTTCGAAAATCATGCTGCAGTAGACATTTTCCACATAGTCTCATTTCACGCACTACGTCCCACCTCGCGTCTGTTTTTAGTGTTCTAAACTTTGCACACTTTTTCAACGCATGTGCCTCCTTGCAATAAAAGCATGCTAGAATTTTGTGCTTATCGCCTACTGCACCCTGAGGTTCTTCTTCATGAAAATTAATTCGTTGCGCTTTGCGCCTTTCATTATCTGCACTGGCTCCAGCACCAAAAACTGGCGATACATTACTTGCTGCTTCTGCTAGTTCATATATCCAGTTGCCGAATGTTTTAAGTGTTACATTGATATTACGCGATGCAACAGCCCACTGCAATCGCATTTGCGGTGGTAGTTTTTCTACAAGCTCTTAGATAAGCAAGCGGGGCAGATCGGAGGAGCAATCTCCCGGTTTGACTACCGCCAAAAAACCAAAGGTGGCTCATGTGGGGCTTACCAAGCCATCGTACAGCCTAGCTGTTAAAGGCGTACGTTTAGGCTTCACGTCAGCAGATCCCGCTGGCAATTCGCTCTCAACAGAGCAAATAACGCGTCTCCAGGAGGCGATTATTGATGTTGCTATAGAGCAACATTGTGACGATATGCAGCCGGTGTTCGAAGGGTGTTAGAGACATAGGGACCAAATGCGGGCTCGCAATTAACGTGGTTGAGGAAAAGCATTTCACACGAACTCATGTAGTTCGTGGCTATTTTCCCCAAAGTTTGACTTTGTCAAACGAAAAACTTTTGGCTACCATTGGTACCCAAAACAAATTCTCCACCAAACGGTGGAAGGTGATTCGCAGACTGACGCAGGATCAGATGCTGCACCTTGTTTTCGTCATTGATGACGAATCCATGAGGTTGTTGTCCGAACTAAAAGGTAGGATTGCATACCGGTTCGGACACTTGAGACTGATGCTGAAGGGTACCACTCCCGCTCTTTCTCCACCCATGGATAAAGCTCCAAAGGTGGTTCAGGATGACAAAACCATCCAGTCATCCTCGGCCCTGGCAACATCCCATACGGACAGTTGCCCAACAGTGACTATTCCTGAGGAAGAGGAACTAGACACACGCCCATCCACTAGTAAGGCTGTTAGCACTGCTAGTGGGCGTGCCGTTCAGATTTCCACCTTAGGAAGTAAGTCCACAAAGCTCTCCACGGGCCCAAATACAGTAGCAGGTAAACCAAGGACCGCTACTTTTAAACCACCCTTAGTCGGTAAAATTTTACCGGAGCAATCAAAGGGTGCCAAGAACAAGGATTCTCGACGAGACAAACGCGATAGTCTCGTTCGAAAGTCTCTTAACGAGACCTAATGAGCACTTTTAAAGTGCTCCAGGCAAATCTGCACCATGTTAAAGGAGCATCAGCCACCCTGTGCAGAATTGCCCAAACCAACAACATTGCTCTAGGACTTATCCAAGAGCCGTGGGTGTTCGGTGGCCACATTCGGGGTCTAAACTCGAAATCAGGTAAGCTGGTTTATGACCGATCGATAGCAGTGCCACGTGCAGCTATCTTAATCGGTGGAGACGTAAAACATCTTCCGCTAACAAATTTTATTTCTAGAGACCTAGTGGCAGTCCTAGTTGAAGTACCTACAATAGGAGGGGTGACAGATATTGTCATGACCTCTGCCTACTTCCCAGGTGAAGAAGATGCGGTTCCACCATTGGAAGTCCAGCAGCTGATTAGCTTCTGCAGATCTACAGGGCGGCAGCTAATTCTAGGCTGCGATGCAAATGCTCACCATATGGTGTGGGGGAGCAGCAACATCAACAAAAGAGGTGAGTACCTATTAGAATATATTATGTCAGCAGGACTAATTATAGCTAACAAAGGTAACAAACCAACATTTATTAATGCAATTAGAGAAGAGGTACTAGATCTGACTCTATGCACCAGAGGTATTGAGGAATCTATATGGAATTGGCAGGTGTCGGACGAAGTGTCCCTCTCTGACCATCAACATATTAGGTTTGAAATTCCCGGTATATCCGCACAGCAAGAAAAAGTGTACCGGCCGAAGAAAACGGATTGGCATAGGTATAGGGACTTAGTGGGTTCCGCAAACTTTTCCCTGGCTAGGCATTTACGAACTATAGAAGAGATAGAGTTAGCCGCTAACCACTTACGTGAGGTATTACTAACCTCCTTTCATAACAACACGCTTTCAGGCAATGCCACAATTTTAGGCAAAGTTCCTTGCTGGAACTCGCAACTAGCTAATAAGCGCTCACTAGTAAGGAGCTTATTCAATAGAGCAGTGGGTTCCGCAAACTTTTCCCTGGCTAGGCATTTACGAACTATAGAAGAGATAGAGTTAGCCGCTAACCACTTACGTGAGGTATTACTAACCTCCTTTCATAACAACACGCTTTCAGGCAATGCCACAATTTTAGGCAAGGTTCCTTGGTGGAACTCGCAACTAGCTAATAAGCGCTCACTAGTAAGGAGCTTATTAAATAGAGCAAAACGCTCTGGCAGGTGGGATGAAAATAGAAGTGCACTCACTGACTACAATAAATCAATCCGACAGTCCAAACGGACTAGCTGGCGCAGTCACTGTGATAGGATCGAAAAGTTGCCCGAGGCAACTAGACTACACAAGGCTTTAAATAAGGTCAAGACTAACGAAGTAGGCCTGTTAAAAAAACCCGATGGCTCCGTCACTACTGGTCGTGAAGACACCCTTGAGTTTCTTTTGCAAACACACTTCCCTGGCTCCGTAATCGGAGTACCAACATCACAATCAAACAGAGAAGTTACTGCTCCTATACGTCAGGAAAACGCACTTTCTGGTGTTATCTTCGAC